CCTTCTCCAAATCTTTTTTCCCTTTTGCAGCTAAGTGTAAATTAATTTTTTTTTTTTTTTGAAATTTCATATATTTCCTAGCAAAGTTACATTACACTTTTGTTGCCCTATGAAAAATCCCAACAATCTCATTTATCGCATAATATCATTTGCGCTGTTCTAAAAACAAAATAAAACTGGCTGTAAACTACCAATAAGCAATTTAATACAAATAATTGAAACATTTTAACAACCTTTATGGAATTAAATGAAAATAGCTTAAGCGACATAGTAAAATGTATGTGTTATGTGTATGAACTGTTTTAATTAACAATTAATTACTTTTCATATACAGTTTTTTTCATTTATTCTTTCTACTTCAATCAATTATTTTTTCTCTTTAACTTAAATCGGTCATCATTAATGTTTCTAGAAAGTTGATGATATGACATCTAACTTTCTTTTCTCTTAATTTTTTCTTTCTTTCTATTAATTCCTTTTTACTATTAATTCTTTTTAGATTAATCAATTGGTCGAAAAAAGAAAGAAAGCAAATTAATAATATATAGCATTTTTGAAAAGTTAATACCTAAGCGAATTTCAATACGACATGATGTCGCCTACACTTGAATGAAAGATGGAAAAAATCTTTTGAACTTTTTCCAAATGTTCCGTCAATTTTGACATAATGGTATTTTTGATCAGTTGTGTTACTGTAGAAAAGTGTGATGCCATTTTAGTTGAAGTATTAATTTTCTTTTAAAGCAAATCGATGTGAATATCTTTGAGATATGCAATAATTATAATTATAGCAGAGAATTTCAGTAGACTGTTTAATGATTACATCAAATTTATAATCAGTTAATCTTCAATTTTCAAATGAAAGTGTTATGTAAGAAAAATTTTCGAAATTATCTATCAATAAACATTTTTTCTTTCTCAAAAAAACTGAGTGTTTAAAAAATATATTTTAAAAAATAATTTAATTATAAGGCAAGTCTTTATAGTATGTGTGTAAAATTCTTCCTTTTTTAATTTATTTAACAAATAGCAATTCATATCATTAAAAAAACGCCACTTCATTAGAAATGCAAGCATAATAGACGATTTCCAAAGGCTTCTTATCACTTTATCAAAGAGCCATTTTAAGCTATCTAAATTGCTTGAAATGCTTTTAAGCTATCTGAATTATTTAGCCTACTTATTCTAGCGATTAGTAATTTGATGTTTTGAATTGTTCCAATACTTTGTTGATTTGGTAGCACTGCCTTTTAATTCTTATTATCAGAGCAATGATGTCATCATCCATAACTAGTTTAAAATAATATGACGTTGAAAGAGAATAGGAAATTGTCTTTATAACAAATTTATCATTCCCTGTCATGAATAATATGTCTTAAGTTTATTGTTGTTGTCATATTTTCTTTTGTCAGATTTTAGAAAATAATTTGTAAATTTTGTAATTTTATCGAGTTGATACCATTTAAAGCTTCTAGGTTTTTAAACTTTTTTGAATAGCAAATGTCATAGTTTTCTGTTTTGTAATATTTTGTGTACCATTTAATTTTCAACTTTTGATTTCCAATTATTCAGATATCATGTGCAAGTTCAATTTTTTTTGGTAGAAATCTTACAAAGTTGAGTTTTTTAGATTTCTTGAAATTCTGAGGAAACAATAATTTGAAAATTCTTTTCACAGCTTGAAAATTTTCCTTTCATATTCTTTTAAACCCACAGAAGCGACATTTTTTCCTTTCTCATCTGTTCATTTTTTCATTTAATGGCAGATAATTGTTGTTTGATGGTTCCAACAATGCATACTTATCGATTGTTTTGATAATAATTTTTGAAATTTTGAAATAGAAAATTTTAAGGTTTTAATAAGATGATTGCTTGGTAAATCATATTTTTTTGTATTTTGGTGATGTATGATAAAATTGATGCAGAGCTGAATTCTGCCGCTCCATCTAGAATAACTCGAATTGAGGTGTACATATTTCGATACATTATTTTTCTTGTTTGATATTCTTCCCTTTTTCGGTCTGTACGCGCATCACCGCGTAATTTATTATAATTTGAATTTCTCAAGTTCAAAACCAATTATGTTGCCAATATACCAATATATGTTATAATATATGTTATACACCGGAAAGATTCTTTTAAATTTTTATTTATAAAATTTAAATTTAGAACAAAGAATTTAGCGTAGCAGATTTTTTTTATTGGGACAAACTTTAATTTTATAAGTTTAAAGCAGTTATTTTAGGAATTATTTCGAGTTTTACATGGATCAAAACCATTATTTTCGGTTCAAAGAAACAGCAATCAGCAGGCGAATATCCGGAATACAGATGATTTGATAAATTATTTCAGTAAGCGAAAAGGGTCACTCACATTTCAAAGTTTTAATATTTGAAATTCCAAGGCATGTGAAATCACGTAATTGAAACTTTTACTGCATGAATTGTACTTAGTATCAAAGCTTTAATTATTCTTTTTGATTCACATGGAATTTCTTGTCGTCGAAATATCAAAATATGGAATTAAGATTTCATCAAATTTTAAATCATATAAATCATATTTATTCTGAAATTCGTATTTATCTTGCCAGTAAAATATGTTCGAACGAACTACTTTACTTTACTTATATCTAATATTCAAAGCTAAGAAAAAGATACTTTAATTAATGAGCCCCTAGATATTTTCGAGTCCGAAGGAATATCAAGAATAGCAAATAGCATAATTTATTAAAACTTAGTATGGAATCATATTTAAATATTATGGAACTTATACATAAATATTCATAATTTTATATTTATATGTCATAGATGAGCTGATTTAAAATTTCTTATTAAATAAATTGTCGTTTGATATTACGGACGATTTATGCTGCAGTACGTACAAAATGTAAGTTATGAAATTGTCAATACTGTAGCATGCATATTTTGCAAATATTTATTTCTTCGACAACTAATTTTGAAAATTATTGACTAAGTTTTTTGGATTAAATGAATTTAGAATGAGGTTAATGGAAAATTTGTTGTGCAAAATCCTTTTTGATACTTTATAAATAGAAAAGAAGTAGCTGGCTTTTAAAACATAACTGAAAGTAAAATTTTACAATTAAAAAGATTACCGCAAAATTACAACATTTTGAAGATTAAATTTACAAAATTTCATTACGGTATGAAATGGCTAGAAACGAAGAAAAAATTGGTAAACATTGTTAAATAATAAGAAATCCACTGGTAAAACTAAACAATTCTTCAATATAAATTGTTTGCTCGAATAATTACATTACCAATATCAAAAATTTTAAGTGACGTCGAATGTTTTCTAATCTTTTAATGCGGTACGGAAATATAATTTTTAATAATTATTGAAAAATGAGACGGAGAAAATTTTATTTGCTTCCTACCATTCGTTTTAGAATTTTACAATTAATACACGGAAAAAGCACAATTTTTTTACTGTTAATAAATTTAGATTTTTTCAATTTAGCTTAAATTTTTTTACTGTTAATAAAATACTGAAATATACTTATAGTAAATATGAAATTTGTAAAAAAAAAAATTGCTCTCATAAAAATCGAAAAAAAAATTCAACTTCTGAAGAACAGGTGAGAAAGTGGGTGAGGAAGTGAGATATTTTAGAAAAATCTGCCAAAATAAATGTAAAATTTGCCCGGAATGCAATTATATTTAAACAACAAATATGACATATATTAGAAATTAACTTGCGTAAAATTTCGATAACGCATTTTGAAAATGGAAGCTCAAACATAATGCTTCATATTAAAATTTTCGTTTCTGTCAAAAAATTGTGAAATCATCGTAGAGTATGCCTATAATATATCTTACGTGAACTGGAATAAATCAACATTGAATTCACTTAGCACAAAATAAAATTACACTCATCTTACCTTTACTTTCTTTAAAGTTCGATAGTGAAATTACAGTATAAACCTGGGAGATTATCAGTTTCTGGTGCAAATTACTATTAATTTTCGCATATTTCGTAAAAAAAAGTACTAAATGGTTTATTTGAAACAACTACAATTTCTGTGAATGTCTTGAAAATACTCTCTACCTAAATCTATGTTTGTATTCAAATTATGATATTTTTTGACACATATAAACTGACAAAATATAACGAATGCTTCGAAATATAATACCACATTCCGAAGTTTTTAAGCAACTATTTTTCCTTTTGATTCAGTAAACAGTGAATAATAAAATAATTAGAGGAACCAGAAATTCCTGTTTGTTAATCAAATAATATCCACAATTAGATCTCAGTACTTTGTAGAAGCAAAATTTTTGGAAATTTTAGTTTAAAAACAATGTTCCCACTTCGATGAGATGCGAATAAATTTTAATAATGGATCATGATATCTGCTTACTTTTATTTTGTTTTATTACTTCCGTTTCCACCAAACTGGGACACACTTATACAAGTTTCATTGTATGTTTCATTGAAGGATAACCCCTTTATGGCTTTTGCAATCCTGTAATTAAAATATGAATCATATGTTAGCGTTCATTATTACAATTATTGCATGAACCATTAAAAGTTTAAACATCTCTTAATACCACATTTATCTTCAGAAACATTCCATAGCGCGCGAGTGCAAAAAAAATTGTTAAGTTTATATGCATATTTCTATGAACGTAACAATATAACAAAGCGATACGACATTGCTTATATGTCATACATATAATGAGGATATGAAAATCTAAAATATAGTGAGAGTTATATTAATTCTGTAGTAATTTTCAACACTTACATAAAAAAGAACCAGCAATTATTCCAAGGAAATATATTTTCTTTTACCAACTCTAACATTTATGAATGTTTCACACCATTCGAAAAATCATCCAAAAAATGAAAATCGATATTTATCTATCTATTTGGAAGACATATGCGAAATGACGTCCGAAATGCAAAAACATGGTAGCATAATTTTACATTGGTAGAAAAATAAATTCTCTAGATATTGGAGAATTTGGAAAGAATTTTTTCTAATCGAATTTTGATTCTTTCTTGAATGGCCACGCTCGCAAGGGTGTCACTTCTGCTTGTCGCCTCCCTATTACATTACCGAACGATTTTTCATCTTCTTCATAATCACTATGCTGTCTAGGTGCTTCAACCACATTACGACGCTCAACGGTTGCATTGCGTCGTAATGTTACTGTTGATGAAGCATACCGCTGCCTTTGCTGCGCAGCATAATTGTTCGACAATTCCACTGCCGTTTTTAACATCTCCTGATGAAATTGTCGTGAATGGTCTGTATTCAGCGTACGTGTTAAACTCTCAATTGCTGCAAACAGTTTACGATTCGCAAAGACGGTACTGTTGAGTTGTTCAGATCGCGCTAAAACATGATCATGCAATGGCATTTGCTGAATATTTCGTCGTAGCTCATACGATTCATCATGTTGCCGCTGTTCGATTATATGGCCCCTACCCATTCTTCGATGCTCTATCATTCCTTCAGTTGCCGCTATGGCTTCTAAAATTAATTTTAAGAATGACTGGTGACACCTAAAGAAACCAAGATTAAATGTAGCGTATGATAATATATTTTTAAAAAATAAAGTTATGAAAGTAAAGATGCTTTAAATAATAAATATTCTTTAATTTTAGCAATAAATACTGTAGGATGGCATAAATGTAGAATCATTTCTTTAGAAAATAAACTACATAACAGCCCTTTTCTTCTATATTTCCTCCTTTGATATAAATACATTATAGTAACAAACTTCGCTCAAGCCGATCTACTTCGGTTAAAACGTCATTGTATTCTCGCATCACTTCATCATCAGCATTGTCAATATTGATTTGATCGACATTATCAACATCCACATCATTATCATTTTCATCTTCATCATCGTTTCTATCTTTATCTTCATCTCCATCACCATCGTCATCATTATCATCGTCATCATCATCGTCATCATTATCGTCATCATTATCGTCGTCATCATCATCATCATCATAACCTTGTAGCAGGTAATACTGTACATCGCTGTTTTCCTCACTGTTACGCACAAAAGTATCTGCTATTTTTTCATCACCATCGCTAGGTAATGCAGATAAAGTGATGTGATTGTCCTGGTGTAACATGCTTTTGTCTGGATCCTATAAAAAATTAAATAAAAACCTTAATTTCGTTGCAAGTTCTTGCAACTTCAGATATATTTTCTGCTAGTGAATTTCCTGTCATGATGGAACTCAAAACAGATTTTGACTTGAGAAACTTGATGAATTCTTTTTAAAATTGCTTTGTTCAAACTGCTACTTAACAATTTGAAATTAAGTACTTTTGAACCATTAAAAAAAATGTAAAATCCACTAACAGATCTATTCGAAAACAATGAAATTTGTTCTGGTGGCTCCGGGACAATATCATCTCTCTCGTAGGAGCCAGAAGGAGCTGGTTCTTGATCGGTGGTATAAATTTCGCTTTCGCTAACCACATCCAGTAATTCAAGACATCCATCTTCACCACTAGCAGCCATTGAGATACTGCAAAGAAACTATGAATGAATTTTTCAATAAAATGGTAAAATCCCAAATAAAATGAGCCAATTGTCATTTATAAATATTTGAAAATTTTAAAAATAAATGCATGCTCGTACTTGTATACTTTCTTCTACGTTAACTTCAAAATCCCATGTGAAATATACATATCTTTTAAATAATTTGAACCTTAAAAATACTAAGCTTAAGACCAATATAAGTCATACCACGATTGATCACCATCATCATCGAGTTCTTCAATTTCACCACTGAAATTAATGAACATTAAAACATAAAAGAAATGAAAACCATTCTGAAATTTCCTGCCCTTATTATGTAAATTAAACAGCTGATAAAAAAAGAATAAAGATGTATTTTTGATTTATAACTGCCTAATTTTTTTTCCAATGAAAACTGAAGCTCTTACCACTGTACAGATTATCCCTATTAATACAAATAAAAATTATAAACCCAAAAAAATAAAAGGAAAAAAAAACTAGCTGCTAAGAAACGAACCTTTCTTCTGTTTGAAAACTATAATTCGCCGTGTCATAATTTTCTCTCTTTGTGCTTTTTCGTGCAGCAGATGGTGGCGGAATATTACGCCACCAGTCTTTACTACCAACTCGATCAATACTTTCGATGCCAGCATCGTATGCCCGCTTCTGCAATAGTACCTTCAATAAATTATGGCATATATGGTGAGTTTTCTTCGTAAAAAATCGGAAATAGAGACTATACACATTTTTTCTTTAGGTGTCAAGCTTTTTATTTAAGACATACGACAAATTGTATTTTTCCATATATGTTTTAGTGCTACTTATCATTTTCAATAGCTTCCTTAGACATGGATTTATTGAAATTATAACCCTAGCTAAGATTCAAAAGTGAAGTTAACCATAATGAGATTTTTGAAAACTAAATTTAACTCTGCTAATTTCAGACACCAAACATCCACTTAAACACTTCTATCAGTTTATATAAATGCAATCTCATCAAAACTGAGTACTGAATATTACGGTCGAAAGTTAAAACTTGTATACACTGTCACAATTAACAAAAAGTTAGAATGTCCATTGCTGTTGATAAACAAAACATAAGAGATGGAAAATGAGCTAAGCAAACATAAAAACTAACAGCACTTCTCCACAGTTTCATGATAACTTTATTCATCGTATCCCACGTAGGATATTCATCTGCATTTAGTAAGCCTTTAGGTACCAAGCTTTCTGCTCTTAAAGCTCGTAAACGTCCCTGAAAATGCATAAATCAAAAGACTCAGTGAAACATTTATGCAGTCTTGCATAGGCTGACGATGAATTAATTTATAAATTTCTTCGTATAATGAAACCAACTATGTCCCGCTCAAAAGAAGGCAAATATCTACTTAATTAATGAGCTACCTCACACATAGCGATTTGTCAGTTCCCAATCGTAGTTTGATGATAACCAAATGTTTTCTGTAAGCGTTGGAAAAGAAATAAAGATCTAATTACCCTATTCCAAGCTTCTTTTGGGTTCATAATTCCGTTATAGACATCAAGACGAGCTTCTCTGTCAAACTGTCGGTTGACGATATTAGAAAATGTAAACAATTCACATTTTGAATTGTGGGTTGGATTAACATCACCTACCAAATGGCCTGCAATGAACTTAGTCGCGTTAATCGTACAAGCTAAGCGAACTTGACCAAATTGTTGCACAAGTTTAATTGTTTTTAAAATGTAAGGAAAAATTCAAAAATAACCTTCAGCAAGTTTTATTTGAGCAATTGGATCGCCGGGTTCCTTTGCCATAGTCTCACAGCCTGAACAGCGGTAATAACATCGCGAATTACGCGCTTGGTTTAGTCGATAAACACGGAACCTAATAATTCGCAGATAACTGAATACTTCAACTTGAAAATGCAATTTTAAATTCTAAGTTTAAAGCTGAAAATCCCAAGTAGAAATGTTAAACAAAGCTAACTTATCGGTCTCGGTAATAGGAACAGCAATATCAGTCCATTTAAACCGTCGGTTAAGAAGGAATACATAAGGATGCAATATTAATGGGCGCTGACCAGATATTAATTCTTGAAGAAGGGCACATCTGCAAAAAATAAAAATTCGATACATAAATCAATTGAACATGTAACTTAAACTCCAACAAATTTCTGTTTTGTATTGCAGTATCATAATTTATCATAATTTAACTTTAGAACATCTCCATTTTAGCATAAAGCATCATTTCAAGCGCTGATAATAAAAACCAAATCAACTAAACTTAAAACTTGGGTAATGCTAACTCACAGACATCATAATCAATTCTTATAGATTCAGACCGTCATATGCAATATCACAGCTAACCAATTCTAAAAGAAGGATTGGTAAAATTTCGCTCAAAAAATACATCATTTTCTACCTCTCCTTGTCTTCATCAGTAAAATAATCTTCTGGATTATCAGTCTTCTGCACCGGTACATTGAAAATAACTGATGAAGCTAATCCTTTACTGGCTTCTGCAAACGCTTGCTGAAACAAATTTCCCAGTGCAACTACATATCTTAAGTGAAAAAAGAAATCATCAGTTTTATTCCGATTTTGGAAAAAAAATCACTGTATTCGAATAGGTTTAAACTAACTAGACAAAGTAAATAGTGATGACAAAGGCTTTATGCTAAATGACTGCGAAAGTACTGACGTCTTCAATTTAATTCGAAAATTAACAAAAACATGAAAAGGAATTTCTAAAAATCTCCAAAATCTTGAAATAACTGCAAAAAAATAATAAATTATATCCTTACCTGGAATTGTGCGATTTGTGCAGGGTGCAAATCACCCAAAGTTATAGTACCTAGGACTTTCGGCTGTTGCTGATGCTGTTCACAGGGATGTGGTTGCAAATTAGCAGAAATATCCCTAAAAATAAATTCTAATTCTTTAAATTGATGTAATTAATAAAACACTGCAAAAACGGATTTTATGTTCCAACACTATAGCTAAAAAACTGAAATATTACATTTTATTTTTCATAATCGCCATAAGTGAGTCAGTAACGTCAAAAATAAATTTCGCTAGCAAGCATAGTAAGACATGCCAACTATATAGTCAGAAAAATCCGATCTTTCATGATAATAATTGTTCGACATATTTCCAATTATAATAATGAAGTCTGTTTAAAACTTTTGTGAAGAGGCCTGTGGATGTATAATATATGAAATCATGGCATTCTGCATGACGTTTCAGTTGAATTAAAATTAATCATAATAACTTACATCTTTCCATCATTGTTAACACTGTGTTCAATTTCAACACTACTGATATAATTCTGCAAGATTTAGCAAACGTGAATTTTAAATAAATTTTAATATATCGTTTACTAATATTAGAGAAACTTAAGATAAGAATGGCATTTGCTTAGCGCATCTATGTGACTCCTTGCGAGATGTGTAAACAAATTTCATAATGTTTTATAAATATAACAAAAAAGCAGATATAAAGTAAATAACGATAAATTGAATGTTAGCTTTATTTGAGATTAGCAATGCATGCCTAATAAAAATTAATATGGGAGACAAAATTTAATACCTGAAAATTGTTGGTTGGAAAATCAGCACAAAGTGAATCAGCAATCTGATCAGCAGCTTCTTCATCCGTTATCTCTCCACGAATAGCCCGAACAAATGTCTTCTCAACTAACGTAGTTAGCATCAGAGCTAAAAAAAGAAAAGACGGGATGCGATTTTGTTATAACATACAGTGGTATGTTTTGTCTTTTTTCTTTAATTTTAACTCCTCAATGATACCAAATAATCTGATCAGATATGAAAAGTTTACACTTACATTATATGTCTTTTATCTAATATATTTCTATATTGCATATGTAAATATCGGCTAATCCTACATTATGCAAAGTTATTAAAATGAGTGAAAAATATATTGAATCTTCTATAATCTTCCAATTGCTCTTCTGGCAATTGTCTTAGTTTTTTTTTTTTTCGTATGTGCGTGTATTTGGTGTATAAGTTCCAAAAAACGATAAAAAAAACAAACTACAACAAAATGAATTCTAACAAATTTTGAGATTTCGAAATTGTTGCATATCAATCGATCGAAGTGTATTGTGTTAAAACTTGCGGCCCGCATTTTGTCTAATGCATTGTATATGCATAGGAATAACTAAAATGGTTGGTTGGGAGGTGGATATACTGCGTGTCATATTGTCTGATAAGTTACGTGTTCATATGTTGAATTTCTACTTACGTCATGACGTGATGATACTTATATCGGATAGTACGTGCTGATACTTATATATCGGATATTTTAAGTAGCTCTGGACAGTTTGACAATCTCCGATAGATTACTACTGTTTCATACCTGAATGATCAGATAGTTCCTACTCTACATACATATATTTGAATAAATGTTCCATTTCTTTAGTGGTTGTCTTAGTTTCTTTTTTATCGCGGATGATATTAGTGTATGGAAGAAATGCAAAGTATTTATTTAATAAAAAATAGCGCACTCAAACTGACTTCTTGAAATTTGCATCGAACGTTGAAAAAGATTTTTTGGCAGGAAACATTGGATTCCCTCTTGAATTTCACATGTGTTGATGAATAGTTATTGCATTTAAATATGGCACTGATAAAAAAGAAAAAAATTACATGATGTTGAAATATTTTCAGCGACTTTGAAATAGAAGTATTGCATGGATATGGTTCAAATTTTTGCTACGAGTTTTAGCCATGTTTGATTTTATATTAAATACATTTCATTATCACTCTCTTATCATCCTCATAATATGCTATTATGAATGTGGTCATGTTTTGTTCAGATCCAGAACTTCACGTATTTTTACGCCTCTTTTACGTCTCGCACTGCTGTAATCGTTTTTTTCTTGTGCTTATCTACGCGTAATTTTTTTCTCATTCATTCTCTGTTGGTAATTCGATCATCTTATTTTCAGATAGTGTGAAAAATGGGTAAAGCGGAACAGCTAGCGGAAATCAGGGAGAAGAAGTCGGCTAATCCAATGAGGGAGTTGAAAATTGAAAAACTTTGCCTAAATATTTGTGTTGGTGAATCGGGCGATAGGCTTACACGTGCTGCTAAGGTATCTTTTGGATTCTTTTTTAAGGGATTGATGGAAAGAGAGAAGTACCAAGTTTCAAGTTTGAATAACGGTTATTTGTGATCTTATTGCATAGATTGTTATTAACACTTTCATAGTACTTGTTACATGAAGTGTGATCACTAGCCATCTGGCTTAGTGTAGATAACTTGTTGCAGTATCAATAAATGTCAAATTCCACAGATGCATAATATATTTCCCGACAGTGATGTGATATTTGTATTCAAACTATTGCAGTTGTAAAACTTGGCCTAAGTATAAGTGAACCGCAATACCAAATGACTCCGTATAGTGTTTTTAGGTGCTTGAACAACTAACTGGTCAGACACCGGTATTTTCGAAGGCGCGATATACAGTGCGATCATTTGGTATTCGTCGTAACGAGAAAATTGCTGTACATTGTACTGTAAGGGGTCCGAAAGCCGAAGAAATCATTGAGCGTGGTTTGAAGGTTGCTAATTTTTGCCTCGGATAGCTTTTCCCACTCTTTGATCTCAGTCGCTGAATTGTGCTTTGTTCTGTTTTATGAGAAGTTTATTGCTGGTAAGAAGCGTATTATGGAAATAAGTATTTATGTATTCCGTACTTCATTTCTGAAATCTATTGATTCGGTCGTTAAGTGTCAACTGTATTTCAAAGCGATTCTCGGGCTACTGATTTTGGATTTCTATGATTTGTTGTTGAAGATGAACAGACCATTATTATAAAGAAGGCAAGAAGTGAATAGCTGACTATCACCTTTCTTAAATAGTTTATGCATTTTTTCTTGGAAAGTAGTTCTTTCGTATTTGTAGGTGAAAGAATACGAGTTGTACCGAGAAAATTTCTCAGATACTGGAAACTTCGGCTTTGGAATACAAGAGCACATTGATTTGGGAATTAAATATGATCCGTTAATTGGTATCTACGGTATGGACTTCTATGTTGTTCTGGGACGTGCTGGCCATCGAGTTGCAAAGCGTAGACGTGCACGTGGACGTGTAGGGCATACGCATCGAGTAGGGAAAGAGGAAGCAATAAAATGGTTTCAGCAAAAGGTATGTTTGTCATGAATGAGCTGGAACTTGTGATATTTGTTGGAAATGAATCTGAAGTTTCTTTATAATAACTAGAAGCCATAGATAATCACCAGCGTTTCGATACATCCTTATTGAGGCAATAACTCACCCCTGATAAAGACCTTTCGCTGGTGTAGATTTCCATCCAGTACTAGCTTTTCACCGCTTTATTCACCTCATTCATATTTTAGGGATCTACTGAATGAGTGATCAAAATCTCCGTTGTGGGATATTGCATATTATCACATTTCATATCATTCGATCTATACTTTTTCAGTATGATGGCATCATTCTGCCCCCAAAAGCAAAGGAAATTCGACGTGGACGAAGACATTGAAAATGATTTTTAATTGTTATCAGTTTATTGTTGTAATTCAAACGCATAAGTCACAAACAAGTTTCTGCTGTTTAGTGTAATCTGTGAACATATATTGCTCACATCGATATGTAGCTTTGTTAAAAGTCGCCCCAGCATTGTGGACGTGCCCAGTTCAATTTTTGTAAAAAGATTGGACTTATTAAATTGTTATCGTAACCCATTATTATTCTCTAGCTTTTTCGAACATTCTCGAGCCAATATGTGGAGTAGGTCCCTCTGAATGTTGTTTTTGACGACTGGCAAGTCCAAGATCATTTCATACAGAAAGTGCCTGACTTCTTCAAAACATTTCAACATTACACAGCAAATATAAATTTGAGATCGATTTTTCTTGGATAAGTTCTATTTACTAAATTAAAATTACAATGGAACTACGCAACAATCACATATTACCGTCATACGAAAACGAATTTAATTGAAGCTATCGTTTTCATACAAGACTAGATGGAAGTATTAGATACACACAATTTTTTCCTGACGAAATGGTTTGGAATGACGGCAAGTGATCAATACAAGAATGCATGGAAGAATTCAATCGGATTAGAAAATCCGTAATCTTTGATTAAATGACTCATAAATAAGTCTAGTTTAATGGAATTGGACCAGTTAGTACCAGCATTCCAGTTAACTATTCAAAATATTCGAGTTTCGTATTCAGCACTTTTTCATGATTTAAATGCTATATTGTATGGGAAAAGTTAGTTTAAGGGCAGCGAATTATCATCTGATTCTAGGAAAAGGTTTCGGTGATAAATATCAATTTAAAGAAAAATTGGATTCAAACAGCCAAAATGACTGGGAGAAGTTTCGTTCAAATGAGCATGGTGCATTGGGAAGTTTTTCATACTTTTTCTGAGGAACTATGTGCACAACAAACCTTTCTTATCCTAATTAATTTACACCTCACGTTATTTCTCCCATCGATCGAAGTGTTCGGTGATCTATTTCAAACAATTCGCTAATTATAAAACAAGTTGGGTATAAAATATAAAGACATTATGATAAAATAAGAAGATTTGAAAATATTTAGTGCATTTACATTACCTCACGAATCAGCCAAATAGGCATATTTGATATACCAAAAAAAAAATCTACAGTACTCAATCAGATGAACTAGAAAGATTGATAGTGTGCCGCAAATTTTTCTATAAACAATACAGACTATAATATATATATATATACCCAGAACATTCATTCAGCTGTAACAACTGCACTGTCAGCATCCAACTGCTTTCCAAGATATTCCCAGTTATGTACCATTAATTTCTGGATTGCAAGCAATGAATGATAGCGAACGTTTGGATCATCCGCCGAAAGCAATTTCATCACTGCTTGCTTTCCTTGCAATTGTTCAATTTTGCTGGAACGAAAAAGAGTATAAATATATGGATATATTTTCTTATAAAGTAGAGAGAAAGACATGAAAAACGAACTTTTTGCCTCTCGGATAATGTCTCACGTATTCTCCAATATCATGAACTGCTACACAAAGAGCTAATGTATCCGACTGCACTTCCAAAATCTTGATCAAAATCCTGGAAATATATATATTAAAGAAATAAATAGTAATTTTGAAACATTTGCTATTAAATAGGAACTTGCCTTAAAAGTTCAAAATCTTTTTCATTGAATTTCTGTGCATTTTCTCTCCAGAACTTCTCTGATTTATGGACCGGACTCCACTGCAGTCGACCTGATTTCACCTCAAAAAATTGAAAAATCAAGTCGTTTTCCTATTTGATAAACGAAGAAACCTGAGAAAATTTCGTAATCAATGCAGAAAGGTGTTAAAATTCAAAAAAATTCAAATGTAATAAAACATGTTATATAAAATATGTTAAATATAGAAAGGTCTTAAAGTTCAAATCATTCAAAAATTTGTCTTAGAATTCAAGAATCTGCTTGCAAAATTTACCAAAAATGATAACACTCATCAGCAGTGCCTACCAAGAAATAGCATTACACAGTACCTTCTACATCATTTCAAACGTACCTCCGATACATACTCGTCAAAGGAAGAAAAGTCTTGGACCGAGGAATGTAACTTTTCACTGAGAAATTCAACATCATCGTTCAGTTCAGCATCATCAAATTTTTTAGAGTCCATTAGTTCAAGTGTTTTCAAAGTCTTGCATTGCACCATCTGCAAAGCCGTTTCTCGCTCGAGATCATGATCATCGATTTTCTCGAGAATGTTCCGAAACGTTCCCAAGATTATGCGAATTACCTGTGATAAGCGGTTTTAAGAACTGAGTGTCATTATTTCTTTACAAATAAGAAATATTTAGTAAAAGTACAAGAATCATTAACAACCGCCATAAACTTTTATGCACCAAACCATGAAAATGCGTTAACTAATTTTATAAATTGAAAAGTATCAAAATACACGATTTTACCTTCTCCTTGGTTGATTCCGAAAGAATATCACCAAGAATCTGAATAGCTCCACTATGCGGAAATTTTTTGGCTATGGCCGGATTGAATGTAAGACACCACAACGAGAATATGAGTTGATATTGGAGTTGGAAATTAGTTTTACCACTCAACACTGATAAAATGCTGAAAGTACATATGTTTACAGGTCCTTTACTATAATGCATAAGAAAGTAACAACAGATGTAAAATGCTAATAAAAATGTTTCTCACTTATCTGTTTGTCTAAATATAAAATATGTTAGCTTCATTTCCCGAACATATAAAATAATATAAGCAAAATTATTGTCAAATATTTGCTTAATTAATTGATGTTTAAAGCACTGTGTATTACTTCTAGCGGTAACAGTAGCTATCATTGTTCATCGAAGATCATGCAGGCAAAAAAAAAGAATTCATTTTAAAACCTCATGATACCATCCATTGCTAAGAATGCATGACGATACTCATCAATCCGAAGCATCATCTGCAAACAACGTGCCGTTGTATTGATATACTCATTTCCTGCAGACTTCAATTGATCCTTGAGAAATGAAATGTAGAAATTCAAATCAGAACCTTCCATACGTGCTGTGCCAAAACATGCAAATTTTGCCAAAACAGAAGACATCTGTAATATGTTTTCTATGAATTGTAGCACGATAAAATTTACTGCTTAAAAATGAAGTATGAATCATGTACTTTTCGACTGACTGATTCCAAAATGTAACTAAATACTAGCAAATGCGAGGTAAACGCAAGTAAGTATGTATTCAGCAATCCATTGTTAAGAATCATTTTAGATTTTAATATATGACAGTTTATACTTCAAATCGTGATTACAAAGATAGGGTGACTAACGAGAGAGAATATTTCACGATAAGCACACAAGTAGGTGTTTAACCAAATTATTTTGAAACCTTTAGCAAAAGGAACCTTTTGCTAAAGTTTTATTCAAAATGCTAACCTGATTTACAATAAATGGATCTTGACGTTGCAAGATGCCCAGGAACCATGACCATAGCGTACGCTTATTTTTTCGGGCATGGCTGTAAAATATTTCTACACGTGATTTATCCTCCTGAAATAAGTCACCAATCATTAAATGAAAATATTACATGTGAGAGTAAGTGAGAAAGGCTAAATAGTTTTACATTAGAGTTCAGGAATTCCTTATTTATTTTCAGAGATGGTGATTTTTCTTCTCAATAAACTTAAAGTTTTATTATCGCATACCAACTTTTGCAAAAACAGATAAATTACATCAATTGATCAATAAAGAGTTGATGGTTAACATTTTAAATTTCTTCTGCTATGATCAATTGCTATGTTACCAGAACATTTTCCACTTTTGAAATGGAATAAAAGCAACACTAACCATAATCATATCATCCAATAACGTCAGTACATAACGAACATTTTGATCTTTGGCAACAGTTGTAATAAAATTGATCATTGTTCGTGCACATTGCATCTTGTTACTCTCCAAGAGAGCATCACGATCTTGCTTAGTTTTTAATGCTTCATATGCCATTATGAAATCATAATCTTCTTGGGCAATCATCTGGCTCCTACAATGACCATCCATTACTCTCGAACAATTAATAACTTGGCTTAAAAAGTGCTTTTCTTCTTTCAGCAATTGCTTTCTCGTTTATTACCTTACCCACTACCAAAACAAGGGAATGGTAATAAGTGATTAAAAAATAAGTGGTATAGGAAGAAATGTGTTAACAGTTGAAAAATTCAAAATAAAAAAATACTAATTCTCATCAGAGGAAAAATATATAGATCCAAAGTTAAGCTTTATTTTTTCTGTGCGTTACTTGTTATGAGTTACTGCTCATTTTTCAGGATATGACAAAGTTTTTTCCACTAGAGCTGAGATCTTACTCTATAACTAAAGAAATGAGAAAAATTTGATTCAAGTCTACCATAAGAAGTATAGTTTATTCTACATTCATAACAGCTACGTTTTCCTTCATATCTGCAATTACAGTTAACGTTTCACCTTAAAATACGATAACATATCGGTTTAATTAAAATAAAATAAACATAGTAATTAAAAATGAAAACACATAGGTGAAATTAAAATACGATAACACACAGGTATAATAGCAGTAATGAAAACAAACCTTAAATAAGAATTCCAATTTGGTCTGTTATTTCGAACATCAGCTGCTTCTAGCTGTAATTTACTCGTTGCACTAATCATATCGACCTGCGGAATTTGTGGAACATCCGCTGATATTGTCGAATCAGTCATTTTTCTAGAATGTAGTATGGAGGAAATAATCGTTAAAAGTCAAAAGCGTCAATATCATCTAAGTCATATGAAATATTTATCTTTGTTTGAAATTATTTTGTTATTCGGATACTTTATATGACTTAGATTAATCGAATTCGTAATTTTTTTTTAATATTGTCGCCATAAATGAATTAATGAATAACTGTTCGAGAAAATCGAGAAACTGCCGAATGAATAGGTATACACAAAAAAATATCAGAACAGGTAGATGCCGGAATAAAACAAGATGAAATAAACAAACGAGCGGAAAATTACTAAAATGAATAAGTGCATGGAAGATTTCCGGAAAAGACATATATATGGGAAAAATGCCGGAATAGCGCTCAAAACATTTTACACGAGTAGAAAGAAATGATCGACGAGTGAAAAACCAATGATCAAGCGCAGGCATTCCATGTAAGACCATTTCTTTTGAATATTTTAATGTATCCATAAATTGAACTGCAAGATGATTTAATAAAAGCAAGAAAAAGTTACGAAAGAATGAATGTTTAAGATTTTGTAAAGCATCTAAATCAGATACATAAATGTTTAAGATTTTAAACTAAAAAGATTAATGGAATTCAAACAAATATAATAAAATAATTGATCAATGAACATTTCATATATGCCGTACATTTGACAGAAATACTATCATTACTGTTTAATTTTAAACGATTATGATTGATGTTGTTCCAATAAATTGTGACAATCTGATTAACCGGTTGACCGGACGGTTTATGATTATGCATCTCTTACAGATATTTTATATAGCCTTTTCCATCTGTTCCTCTTCATTTCGCATTTTCTCCTTTCTGTTCTCTGTCATTAATATTATCTTAAAGTTCTTTAACTCTCTTACAATCATTCATCCTTCTTCTGTACCAAGAAAGGAAACCCATCACAAGAATCTTTATTTCTCATTGATGACTCATCTGTGATGTCATCTCTCCTTTCCAATGTATGAGAATTAGTCATTTGCTCCCAATGCGAACCATATTTTTTCAATTGTCTGATTACGAAATTGGTTGGAATTCTTGGAATTTTTTCCGCATGCTACGAATAGTCACCGTGAGAGTCACTGTTTATGTATGTATCATTTTGAAGTATACTGCTGAGTAAATATATCTTTAAAAAATGATAGAAAAATTACTTCTGAAAGATAGTATAGAATGTCCGAGATGATTGATTCATAGAAGTTTCAGGTAATGTTTGATTTGTCTTTTCACTCCACCCATTTAGATGGAAAAAAAATGATCGTAGCAGTTTGTAAATATTAAGGGTAAATTGAAAAAGAGATTTAAATATGGCAGTTATTTCTTACTGGAAGATAAGAATGGATTAATCTGGTAGATTGAAAAAAAAGAATTTAATTAAGATGTTCATTTACAGGATTGCTTTCTTATTTTGGCTTATTTGATAGAATGTTCATCATTTCAGATCATTAATGGAGAAATTAGCTTGTTTTAGGCTACGAGGCAAATATTGTACTTTGTAATGTTGCTATTCTGGTGGCGAACTGTTGTTCTATTTTATTTCCTGTTTTATATCTGTTTACTAGTAAATGGAGTATTTATTGATGGTAATTTTATTCATTTTTCTCAGTTAAAAGTTACAGAACTCATATAGCGGTTAAGAAAGAAAAGTTTTAAATGATGGAGAACTGGTAATGTTGCCATTCTTTGACTATTGTTCTCTATTTCTTATCAGTTCTACAAATTGACAACATTTTGAAATATATTTCCTTGGTGAATAGCAAATGAAGATAGTTAAAGGTGAAAGAGAAACAGATTTAAATGAACGATTAAAATATTACGAAATTATCGAAGTGAATCGACGAATCGAAAAACGCGGTATTGTGGATAATAATGTTTTGTACAACAAACAAGAACGATTAATTTTTAGGTCTGTTTTCTTTTTTTTACTCCCAATACTTAACCAAATTTTAATATATCAAACATTTGCTTATCATATGAAGCTAGCATGTAAAATAAGAATTATGAAATCATTTTTGTTAATAATTTTATTTTATACATGAACTAACTTATCGCAAAATGTATGAACTTTTTTTGTTTCATTTACTTCACAGATAATTGTCTATGAAATAAATGAAACAAAAAAAAACAGAGAAGAAACTATAAGTTATATGAAATTTATTGTATGGTTTTTTTTAAAAATTTTTTACAGAACTTGAAAAATATTTCCAGAGCTTTCAATCGCTATTTTGATATATATCTTACACCGAGGAGAGGCATTCTTCATACAAATTTTAAATGTCGAGAAATAGATGGATATGGAAATGAAAAAGTATGCACAGTTAATCCGAATGAACATTTTGGTGGTCACTTGCATGGTGAAACATTTTACTATGTTATTTTAAATTCCTGCTAGATCGACATTGTATAATTATTCTAAATTTATACTGGATTTAACTCCGAAAAATTATTCATACTTTTTTCAGTTAACTTTTGACATTGATATCAGGTTTGATTAAAAATCATTATCCTCACCAAACATTATATTTGACATTTACATTGAATCTAATTTGAAATTATTTTGCTATTACTATAAATTTTATTTGCACATCCATCTGTCAGTTATGCTGAATCTTATTTTCGGTATTTTTTTTCAACCACTTTATCTATTCTTTCAACGATTTCAATCACTTTATCCATCAATTATACTGAATTTTCGGTGTTCTAAAGGCGCTACCGATTCGGTGGTAACAATTAGCTACAGTGAGGAGGGTTCGTTATTGGGTACCGTACAAAGTGACGGGGAAATCTACGTCTTCGAACCTGCAAAAATTTATTTCGTAAGTTTTTTTATTGTTCTTAAAATGATTATTCTTTATCATTGTTATATACGGAGTAAATTTTACTCTGCACAGATAACTTTCCATTTTTATTGATTTTTTATTTACATTTGAGGACAACGACAATTAAATTTTTTTAATCAGTTTAGTATATCACATGAATGTTAATCTTGATAGGTAACACGTTTTGTGGTAAAAAGTAAATATGAATGATATTAAAAAAATCAAATCGCATTTTCGTGTTAGAAATCACAGTAGTTATTTAGTTTAAATATCAAAATTTTTAAGTCCTTAAGGATATCAGTATTATCATATTCTGAAAAAGCTCATTCTTTCAGAAAACAGCTGATTCCCGGAAAGTCTTAGCCTATCGAAATTCGGATTTAAAACTAAATTATGAAGCCGGGAACGGATCATTTTGTTCATCAATATTAGTAGGGAAGCGGAACAATGCATCATTTTTTCAATCGGTGCGAGTTAAACGATTGCCAGCATTGCCGACGCATAAAAACCGGTCGGTCAGCTGATAATTCTCTTTTCGAGGTTTAAAATATTACCACATACATATATTAAGTTTCATTCCATCTGTGAAAGGAAGTGATTTTTTATTTTAATTTTAGATGTGCCTTACGCGTGGTTGCGGATTATCGATTTTTTAGAACGATCGGAAATGGTAGTCAAGCTTTTTCTGCTAGATATTTGGTCTGTTTTAGGATTATTTATTAACTGTAAGAAGCTACTTATATGCTTTTCTTCGTCCCTTCTTTTATGTTTTTTTTAAGCCATAGTTATTAAATCAATTTATGCAGGAAAAATGTTTTGAAGTATTACATATGAATGATTTTAATGCATGTCATTTTTCGTTGCTGAAAAAAATTTTTCATTTCTTATCTTTGAATAAATGAGAAGATAATGATATCAATGATATTAAATTATAAAGCTTATAGATAAATGTAATTGATCGTGTCAATGCATTGTATACAACGACTGATTGGGGCATCGACGAGGATAGCCGACGATTAATTAATATGGGTTTCATGATAAAAGAGATGATAATTCATACATCACCTACACTTAATCAACCTAACCATTATAATTCATATACTGACAGTAAACGAAATGTCAAAGCTGTTCTTGATGTTAGTTATATATCGCTAGTTAATATTATCCATGTAAGCATTCATAATAATAAAATTAGCTAAAATTATCTGAATGGAAAAGCAAAAAAAAAAACAAGAAACTATCAATATTATTTAATTGGAGGAGGAATTAAATGAGTTTATTTGATAATTATTGAGAATATGAAATTTGTAAAAAAATTTATTAGTGCTGATATTGATTATGCTCATATTAGAAATTCTAGTAAAGACTATTATTGTAATTCAATCTTATTTTATGATAAAATATTTTCAGAATTTTTCCAGAAATCAAGGATCTGATAAATATTGCCTCGTTCATCTGTTTACAGCACAGTCATTTGAGAATGGTATCCTTGGTTTGGCATATATTTCATCACCTGAACTTGACGCAGCGGGTGGAATATGTTCAGTGCAGGTAATCAATATTTGAGGCATATAAATCTGGAGTTCTTTTTTATTCGTCATTAAGATTAAGATTAATCGATTCTTGTTATCGCACAATATAGTGCAATGAATAAAGAATTTTATTAGCATTTGATAAGATGGAAATTAACTAGAAGTGATCTATTAAAAATGTCACCAATAATTTTTGCTGTAATTTAATGAAATAAATTCAGATAAAAGAAAAACAAATTATGGAGAGCTAAAAAAAGTGTGATTTCTTTTCTAGAACTCTCTTGAATAAAGAAATTGCTCGGCTAACCTTCTTTTTTTTGTTGTTTTAAAGTATCGTTGCAGAGCTTATTTAATTTTGAGAATGGATTTGTAATTATTTTATCACTTAATGGATATTTACATAATGATAATTTAGAATAGGGATCGATTAGGTATTGTTTACTACAATACTGCTCTTTCAAGCACAAAAGCAACTCATGGTGGTACGGTGGTGTCACGTGAAGCGGATATTGTAACGGCTCACGGTAATCACACGTTCACTTACATGTTAATCGAATATTCCATGAACTTTCAACGAAATTTGTGATTATATTAACATGCATTCTACATTCGATACCATGCATTTTAATATAAATAAGTACAGAATATAGTAAATATAATAGACACGCAATGGATTACTTGTATTATTGGAATATTTTTCCTCATCGCTTAAAAGTCTGGAATAGTATTATTTTTATTTTGATGAATAAATGTAAGGAATCGCAATTTTAATAAATTCTATGCTTGCTTTTCATCGATTTTATAATTTTCAGAATTAGGTCATAACTGGGGTGCGACACATGACGATTTATCAGTGGAATGTTCACCACCGTACAGTTTAGGTGGTTCTTACATTATGAACACTTTTTCCGTCTCTGGATATGATGAGAATAATAATGTGAGTTTGCGGGTATTTAAAAAAAAAAGCTTATGCATGAATTGAGAATAGATGCTATAAAATTAGTAATCTAATCAGTAATTCGTAACATGCTGCTTAATTCCGTCCACCAAATTTTCCAACTGTATTTTAGGTTATTAAAATTTTTGTCAGTGAATAATTTTGTCATATTTTATTTTATGCATCCAAATCCATCTTCATATTCAAAAATATGAAGAATTTTTATCCAGCTGAACTAATAAATGAGAGTTCAGTGTTTAAGAAAACTTTTTCATTAAATTAAATATATTTTAATGAATAGCAAATGCATTAACAGCGTTTTTCACCCTGTTCACGTCGTCTCATTGGGAAAGTTTTGTCGCGAAAAGCAAATATTTGCTTTGAACCTGAAATGCATGCATTCTGTGGTAATGGTAAAGTTGAAAATGATACAAATGGTTTCGCAGAAGAATGCGATGTTGGTGGTTTGCTTTCCGGAATTACTGATAAGTAAATAATTTGAAGATTGTTTTCATTTAGTCCAATAACTTTAGCAATATAAAACAGCTAGAAGGACATTTTGTCATATCGAAAATGAATCTTATGCGTAAAGGAAATTATTTACTAAGAAATGTTAGACCATGAAAAAGTTTGAGCCGTTATGTTATTTTGTGCATTTATAGTTTTTTGGATTAGCATCTGATGTTTAAGAAATAATTTTTATAACATTTGTGTTTATAACATTTGAATTTTTATAACATTTGGAGCATCCGAAATCTCATCTTCTCCATTATATTCTATGTACTGGTGCTTCCAGAAATAAGTGATTGATTTCCAGATGTTGCACGTCAGATTGTCGCCTGAAACCGAATGCAATCTGTTCACCGAAAAACAGTCCATGCTGTTCAAATGATTGTCAGTTTCTTCCATCAACTCATCTTTGCCTTCATGAAAACCGTCTTCAATGCAAACTTTCCTCATACTGCACGTTAGTTCGCTAATATTCTGTTCCAGTAAAAATTCGTTGTGAATAATGTGAAATCTAAGGATTAGATGAAGAGTGAAAGGAGTCTATGGTCACTTTCTAAGAAAAATGAAATCAAAATTTCATTTTTTTTTGAAATTTCCCGTAATCATGATGTTTTGTAATCAGATGATATAACTGAATTAATGACCAATGGTAGCTTTTTTTTCCAGAGGCAATTCAGGTGAATGTCCAGAGCCTAGTTTCGTTCAAGATGGCACATCTTGCATTGAAGATGGCGAATGTTTGAACGGCCATTGTCTTACGTTTTGTGAAAGACCATCTGTCAATAAGAAACCATGCATGTGTAATAGAGGTTAGCTTTTTAACTACATTAAAATTTGATGCTAGATTATTAGGTCATCAATTTCTGTAAATAGTATCTAATTTCCATGTACTATTCTCAGAGATATTTTCTCAATTATTTCTTTGTTCTCTATAAAATACCTCTCTTCCTAGTATTCATTAGATTTCATTAGATATGAAGACGCATCGATCTTGAAAGATTGGAAAGAAAATTTTCCGATGATTCGGTAAGGATAAAGACAGTGTGTAATATGGAGTCAATTAATACCTTTCAATTAAATTATGAATTTTTAATACAGTTGAAATTGTAATTAAAAGTATTAGAATAATTCTGATGAACTTCATTATTCATGCTTGCAATGAATTCATGAAGCATTACAGAAGCAGTTGCATGCTTACGGTGCTGTCGTTCTGAAAACGGGACATGTGAGCCATATAGTTATGATCCGAAATATATCTTGAAAGATGGTACTCGTTGTATTCATGGCACATGTTTGCGCGTCAGTTTTTATCTTTATTTTGTTTCCAAACTAATAGCAACAAATAGCTTCTTCGGATTTCTGGCAGTTATGAAAGAAAATATGCTTTATAAACCTGTCAAGTTATTCGCAGAAGTATTGTACGATAGAGATATGAGATTATCAGAATTTACCCATCGATTGAATCGAAAAATATTAATACTCTCATCTTCAATTGTGAAATTTTATATTTTCAATCTTCGATCCTGTTTTCATTTTATAAATTATATATGACATGATAAATGAGATTATGTATGACTAATTCTTTCTGTACAGGCCGTTTGCATTAAAGAAGTTGCTGATTTTGTTTCTCATTTTTGGTATATTATCGAAAATCTTGATGAAACGAATTTTTGTAAGTATTATCACTTGTACATTTTAATTCGATTAACAAAAGTACACTTGATGATGATATGCAGAATAATGATATGCATTTTTTGGAATTGCTAATTTCAGATCACAGTCAGGTTTTTGATATTCTAACCTTCCTACTTTCTGTGTATTCATCGTATCCCGTTTATTACTGGTAGAATATTTCAGAAAAGAATTACGATTAAACAAATTGATATCTGTACAAGTGAAAATAAGTAATAGCTTTCAGGGAAATTCGTTGGTGACAATTTAGTTGGTATCATTGCAGCCATTGTTCTAATTATATGGATTCCTGCGAGCATACTTATTCATAAAATAGTATATATTTTTCTAATCCTTTGAAAAATTTCATCCTATTGTCATAATGAGTTATGCTTCTGATATAGTTTGGTTTATCATTATTTTTTTGTGTGAATGATATCTCATGAATGTGGTTCTTGTAACCGTGAAAAGTGGAAATAGGGAAGGCATGTTGTGATATTGCTGGGCAAAATAATCAAAGTTTTTGATTTTTTGATTGTAATTTTGGCTCTTCTCTGTTTGTAGGATAAAGCACGCGAAGTTGCAGCAGTAGAGGAAGGTGAAAGTCATATTCAAGTTGTCGGAAAAAAATCGATTTACAAATACATTATTAATTCACATTCTCCGCAAAGTGACATCGACAGAAATTCGCGATACTAATTTCATCAATTCATCTTCATTGGAATTCATGAAGTAAAAGCAGATAAATGAATCAACATTTATTTAAAGATTTACGATCGTGTGCTGTGCAGTTGTTGATTTGACTTTCGTTTTGTATATAATTTTATTATCTGATTTTTCGTAACTATCGTTTTATCATTCTTGTGCATGTAATTTTGTCTCCCAGATTATATGTTTTATTTCTAACTTCACATTTCTATCTGCTTCTCTAGAAGAAATGACAAGATATGTTTCATTTGTAGGGTGAAAATGCATTTATTTTGCTCATATTTGAAATTGAAGGTTGCTCTTAATGAAATTCGAGTCAGAATATAGAGATTGCCAGATAATCTCAATCAATTCTTGATGATTGATTTCATCTGGATCATTCCATGCTTCGGATTGCTTCCATGATTTCACAAACATGTTCACAGTTTCTAAATTTGGCGGACATCTTTTTTTCGAAGAGTATATTGTGAGGAGAGCTTGAAGGTGTTATTATTCTAAACTGCTTAAAAAAGTCCAAGATGTCAATTCAAAAGTAATTCTAAAAAAATGCTATTATTTTCTGAGATGATCGAAGTGCTCATGATATTAAAGGCTTCTTTTGTACCCATATGTAGTGTTATGTTCCATTTATTTCAATGAAGTCATTTATTTTTATGGATTTCTTAAAATTATTTTCGAAAATATTGCGAGAAGGGAGGATGAGGGAAGGGAAAGTTCCATAATTGTGTATTATTCTGGATCTTTTCAGCGTTTTCTTCTGTTGCAAAATAATGATTTCAGTTTTTGTAACATCAATTTGTTCCCATATTTTTCATTATTCGAGGTTAATTTATAATAAGAAGTTATATTATTTACTACAGCAATGATTAAAAACTCTATTGTTCTTGATATATTTTATACAATTTTTAACATTAATCATCCAACATTTGAGCTTTTTATAAACTCTACTGATTAAAAATATGTTTGTTTAGAAATGCATCAGGAGATGAAGAATAATCTGTATGAATTCTTGTTGGATTGTCGGATTGTCTCGAATAGTTGGATTGTTTCACATAGTTTATTAATATTTCTGTGTTTTGTTGCATTATCTTAGTCTATTCCTTTCATTAAATGAACGATATTATGAGAAAGTGCTTTTATTGAAAAGAATTATTTTGTACAGTGGAATCAACGATTTTTTTTTGCTAATGACTCGTCCCCAGTAGGAATTAACAATATCCACAGCGGGAAGTTTGGAAATAAGAGATGCGAAGGGAAGCTTGCTCTAATGATATCTCATGCAGTTGATCAAACAAACAAAGGTGTCTCGAAAACTCAGCCATCATTAGATATCCAATATAGTGGGAAATTCTTGCGCTTTTTTAACAGACTGGAGAAACCTCCGAAATTCAGGAATGGAATAAGCAGTATAGCTGATAGGAATATGGAAAGCAAAAATAATTTAAGCAGGGTGCAATATTACATATTAGCAATTTTCCGATGTTTCGAATGAATCACGATTTGTTTGATGTAGGACTACTTCTTTCTTGTGCTTTCATCATATACTTTTCTAAAGCTCTTTCCAGGATTTCCACACATGTGCCATGATCAAATTCTTTAGCATCATCGAGAGGTGTTCGTCCATATCGATCCAATGGATCTAAACTGTTAAAATTTCAAAAAAGGGACAAACATGGACCATGATTTATAATGCTAACTGTCATTAATATACTTTCTATGCTTCAGAAGTTACCGCATTCACAGTTACCGCTTCATGCAATCACTACTGCCAATTATATATTCATATGCACTGAAACACTAGTGGGAATGATAACCATTATCAATCTCTGCGGCATGCGCAATATATTAGTAAAAGTATTGTCCAATCTTTACCTGGACTTTCCTGCCATCGTTGCAACAAAAATTTAAGGACATTCTCATTTCCATGTGCAGCGGCAACATGCAGTACAGTACGATCATCGTAATCTCTTTCAGCGATACCAGCACCCAACAAAAGATATCTGAAACAAAATAAAGAAAGAATAATAAAAGCTCATATGGCAAGTATTCTTTCACAAAAATTGACAATTCAGAAAAAAACCACTTAATTTCATGCCATAGCACGAAATTTCAACTCCACAGCATTTTTATCTTTTTATACAACTTTAAATAAATATATAAATAGCAACAACATGTTGATATTTATTTTTCTGATTTATTATTTCTTCTTTACTGAACCTGATATTTTTGAATTTCTCCAAAATCTTCATTTTCTCAAATTTTATGTCTTTAAAGTTTTTAATTGTTGCATTTATGAAGTTTCTTAAAATCAAATTAAACACGGATCATAAACGCATCCTAAACTCCCAAAAAGTCTTCGGAGAAACGTTCTTCTTCTCATCTTTCCTAACAAAGCTTTCGATAGTCAAATTGCTACCAAAATCCGATGTCATCAATTTTCATACATAATCGATTCGCAAAAAAAGAAGTATGAAATGCTTACCTTTGAATGGATGAAATATCACCAATAGTTGCAGCATACATCATATTCGACACAGATTCATGTTTCACTTCCCGAATTTTTTTTCGTGGATCAATTTTATGAGTGTCAGAGTAAACCTTAAATCAGATGGTCCAAAATTTATTGTGATTTTTGTATCCAAAAACTTAATTTCAATGGTAAAGAAATTGTGACAAAAAGCTCTACTTTTAAAACTATCAAAAAAAAGGAAATTTATTTAATCAGCCAAAACTTACAAGACTGTCATAATTATGAAAATTGAATTTTTCCACAAACTGTTCCGCAAATTTTACTCCTCGAACTGTATTGCCGAGTTGGTCAAGTGGTGGTGAAAATAAACAAATCCCCATGACATTTGGTACGACAATGATCATATCACCTGATACTCCACTTTTTGCCGGTAAGCCAACCTGAAAGAGACATCCATGCTAGGATAAGAAGAGTGATTTAGAAACTTATTAAATAATTATTCACTATGAAAAGACTCAGTGTACCTTGAAAGCGAATTGCCCGGAATAGTCGTACATTCCACATGAATACATCAATGATAACGTATCACGGACCGCTCGATTACACACAACTCGTTCCTCACTTAATGGTGATACCCCACCATTGGCTAATGTAGCTGCCATTACTGCTAACGTATCGACATTGGTTTCGATTGCACAAAGTTGAAAATACAAATCCAACGTATCCCGAAATTACAAAATAATTAATAAAAGCTAAATGTGAATTGAGAAAAAAGTGATAAGCATTTGCAGATAATCTAAAAAATGTAAGCCGATCATCAGCTTTCCAGAGCTGACTGTAACATCAGAATATAAGAGTAGTGGATTATATTGGATTATAGCGGTAGTGAAACATATATAAAACACAATATATTTCCGGAAATTTTAAAATTAATTCAGCAAAGCAATATAAGGAAAAAATTCAACAAAGTCAAGAGAGACTTGACACTATGCACATTCTATGCATATTTATGCCATCACTAACTCAGAAACATTTAAGCATTTCTCCTACTTTTTCCTAAATGAAATCCAAAGTTAAATTAGTACTTTTAACTATGAAAGTCAATAAGGTCAAGTTGTTTAATCTTCTATATCAAACTTTTATATAATCTCCTATACAAAAGGTAATGTGGCCATCATTGGATGGATAATTCTTCGAGAAATTTTAAATGTTCGAAAATTTTATAATTCTAAAATAAAATCAGTAATCTGGATTTACTTGTAAACTAGTCTTCGGCGGGAAGCACTTATGTTCACGCATATAGTACGATAGCGCATAATTTCGATCAGCCGTTTCACGTTCAGACAGAAAGACGGCATTATTGAAGCCAACGAAACCTCCGGCAGCAAACCGTTTGAAATACTGTAACGCAAAATCAAAACGATCGGCAAGAGAGTTCGACCGTTTAAGCAACGATGCTACTAATATAGCTCCAGCATTGATCATTGGATTATGTGGTTTATCTAAAAGTTATTCTTGCCATTATTCTCTTTTCATTCTTATTTTAAAATTCATTTTTAAAAATCTTTTAATTTCTAAATCTATCAGATTCATTTGGTGTATTTTATTTTTGCATATCAAAATTTTCCAGTTTTATTTAAATTTCAATCATAGCTGCAAATTTTTCATCTGATCACATATTTTGTACTCCATGCATATATACATGTAATTTTATTTTATGTTCCTTACATCTTCAAGATTTAATATAAGTAAAACAAAAAAAAAAATTCAGGAAACATTTTATTCATACATAACTGAGGAAATTTGATTTTTGATGAGCAAAAATCTCGATCTGATAATTGAATTTTAGCCTCGTAAACATCTCGATAGGAGTATATTCAGTTCTATTCACCTAGTTATTTTAGATTTCATTGCAAAACACAATTATAAAATATTCTTACATGCTAAACATTAGGATCAGAAACCAAAAGAAATCTGTTTTGCTAATTGCTTAAAAGAACTGATCATGAATTATTCAAACAAAAATATTTCTGCTAACATCTTTCAGCTTATAGTTTGCAGTTTATTTAAATTCAAGTTAAAGGCAATTTTTCAAAAAGAAAACATTAAACAATTAAATATTTATGTGAATGATATTATACCGTTAAAATTAATAGCACTATGAAATCATTTAAAATGATGAACTATTGCTATGATTTAAAATTTAACGTATTGATCAGTACAAAATACTAGAATAATCTAATAATATTCTCATTCTGCAATGCAAATTTCGCATAATTTTATTTTGACGAAAAAAAATTTGACAATCAATTTAGTTATCTTCGATTGCAAAGAAAAATCATATTTATGTATTATTTCACTCATTAACGAATACGTAAATATTTCTCCTTGCCAGTGCGACACAAATCAATTTTGACTAATTTTCGGAGGAGGCTTTAGAAATCTCAATAACTGCTGCACGTAATGGATGCTTCATTCAAGTATCAATAAAATGTTACATCCCTCATAAACTTCATTTTTTTTTAGAGACATATACTTTAACTAACACAACAGCCTGAAAAGGAGAAAAGAAATCACTTACGGTTATGATCTAGGCAAATTTCATTGAATAATCGACCCGATGGCTCTTGGCCAATATATCTATGTACCTTTAAAAAAATTTCAAACTTGAAATATATTAACAGAAGTTTTTTCTTTTGTTTTTGTGATTTCAAGTGGGTGCATATGATTTAATACTGCTGATAAAATTTAAAATTTCGAAATGTTTTATCGAATTAAAAAAAAAAAAGAAAAATGTGAATGTACCTCTTCTGCACCAAGTTCATCCATAGCAATAGCATAGGTGAAAGGCTTTGATACACTCTGCAAGCAGAATGGTACCTGCGTGGCACCCCATGATCGACGCTGTCCATCAACGGTACAAACCGACATGGCCCAATGTTTCGGATCCGATCTAGCCAGTTGCGGAATGTACGTTGCTACCTGTGGATATTAACCAGGTAGGATTATTCACTGAATTGAATATCATTTGACCAGCTACTCGACGGTCAATTAAGAAAATTACAATTTATTAACTGATCGTAGTGGATAAATATTATCAAATGAGACTAAAAACGAAAATTCTTTTCGAATAAAAAAATTTCAGTGTTTTGAACATTATTCAGAAAAAAAATAAAATGGAAGGCAGTAAAGTTTTGGAGTGCTCGTACGAATTGAAAACGATGAAATGGATAGCTCGGTCGCAAATGCCAGTCCATCCAAATGATTAGAAATTGATAAAATTAAAAAAATTCAGCCATGGTGATTTCACCGCAAATAAAAATATTCTTGTAGAAAAAAGTTTCAATAAACTAAAGATAAAATATACTGGAACGGGAAATTTTGCTATCGATTTTTTTCTTTTTTTCCTATGTAAAATCAAATAATTCAATCATCATGCAAAATTTTCAATGGCGGATGCAGAAAAAAAATCAATGGTTCGGGCTTCGTCTTAGAATAGACGGAACATAATTTTTATTAGCAAAGTAAATACACAAAATAAAATTCATTGATTGATCACTACGGAATGATCTATTGCTTAACAATCGCTGCTCTGCGTGTCAAAAAAGACATTAAAAAAAAAACTTTCCTGTAATCTGAGACGTATACCAAGATTTGATAAAATATAAGTAAATTTTTTCGACGAATTTGAATCACATAATATGAAAACGAGTTTATAATCTTGGTTTTTGCTTAGATCATAATGAACAAAAAGTGTTTGGAGTAAAACTCACATTTCCATCATTGAAATTACGGCATGATTCGAAAATTTCACCAGTAACTGCAATAAATGCTGGCCAATCGGGAATTACGAGCTGTTTTTTCAATGCTTTGGCAATGATACCGATAGCATCACCGACATATCTGAAAACAAATGCTCGCGGCTAACTTTGTTGACGATTACTCATAAAATTTGTAAACTTTTAATTTAGAAGAAACCTTTTGAAACTTTCTCGATCCAAGTTTTCATTAATCACTTCAGTGGGTGTCATATCTGGAACAGACTGCTTTCGTTCGTCATGTCGTATTGCATGTAAAAAGTTGGCTAAACGTGGATCATCACGTCTAATTCCAGTTTCATAAAGTAACTAAAGATGAAGTGATAAGAAAATTATTTAAGAAATTGCAATCGATAAAATGATTGATTTAAATTAAAACTAATTGTACGGTCTAAAATTTTAACTTTTCAAATTATCTCAATAGTTCAGTAAAACAACGGGAACAATGCAAGATTATCGTACTAGTGTCTGGTTATAAAACTTTCGGGTCTTCACTCAAAATTATACAATTAGTTTCCTTCCTTCCAAAAAAATCAATGCAAATTCCAATCAAGGGAAAAGTTTACAAATAAAATTCTATTCCAGTTAAAAAAAAAAAAACCATTTCCACTTTTTGCGAATTTTATCTCCAGTATTCAATAAAATGAGTCGCTCTACTTTGAATAAATTTTTATAATATAAAACAAATGAATTTTTCATAGGAAGCAATTATTTTAGAAAAACGGTCGGGAATTTTTGAAATTTCATTCTTGCAAGCATAACAGTTTTTGAATGTTGCAGTTTGTCATGCTGCTTTACGATACTTGGATTTGAACAAATAATGATATTTGAATCAAGCCTACTAGCAAATATCATCAGTGAACCGTAAATGGAAGATAAACGAATGAACATAATAAAGTTCTTAACTTTTCAAATTATCTCAATAGTTCAGTAAAACAACGGGAACAATGCAAGATTAGCAAAGAAAAAATAAAAGGGAAACCTTCAATAAACCAGATGATGATAATGTTTCGGTTTCCGTATTCTTATAGAGATCAAAAATCGCATCATCAATATGTGGGGCACCTTTTGAACTCACAGAATCCGTTGAAAATTGTCGTTCACGGATGCAACCCATCGAAGGTCTTGATTGTGGTAATTTATCACTTCGTCTAAAAATTTGCTTCTTCAGCAATGAATAACTGATTTTCACAAACATATTCCAACCATAAATACATCGAAAAATGTAATTACTTTCAGATATATCAGAAGAATGTTCTCATATTAGGGAACGAAAAAGTACCCTGGTTTTTTCGTGGCATTCACTTTTCAAAAATGATAACTTTATATATATCTGAGAAAAAAGAGCTTTCTTTTTTAATTTCTGACTTTTCTTCTATGACACAATCAAAGATGATCATTAAATCTAAAAGCAAAATTAAAGTTATAAAGCTACAAGGCACATTTTAGCAAACCCAATGAATACCATGAAAATCATTCATAAGGAGGAGCTTTAATGAAAAAAAGTTTTGGATAAAAAAGCAGCACAAATAGTTGTTATCCATTGTACTATTTCACTCTTAATTGGAATGCACAGTATTCCGGTCTAAAAGATTATATTACTGTGAAAGCTTCAGCATGACGTATACAAGATTTTACTTCACAATTAAAAACAAAAGAAGAATATTGATTAATTTTGTTTCAAAGTGCAAGATATTCGAATTAAGAAAAAAAAGGAGAAATTTAATAAATTTATTAATTCATTCCCTTCGATTAGTGAATTTATCTACAAATATACAAATCTCAGTACGTTTTTTTCTTTTCTTTGTAGCGAATGGTAAAAGAAATAATCAGCTGTATATATCAAAGGACGAGTTTGAAAGAAATAAGTACGAGTCCGACAATATTAAAGAATGGCCCGGAAGAGTAGAAGTGATGGTTTGACGATATCAAAGAATCGAACCGTTCGGCTATTTTCTAGGCCTCTATTTCATTTCATCTTGTTCTTTCTCGCATATTCTTCCTTTTTTCATTTTTTTCTCCATCAAAAAATATAATAGCAAGAAAATAACTTACCAGAACTAAAATATTTAGCTTAGATTTTGGAAATAAAAAATTAAAATCAGCAAACAATTCAATTACAAAAATTCAACTCATTTTGCATAAATGTCAATCCGTATAAGAGATAAAATTATGTCTGAAAGAAATAAAATCTCTATAAGAACAAATAGTATTAATCATAAGACTAGTGGTAAACAACAATTGTTGCTTTATAATCAACGGATAACAATAGACGATCACCCCTCATGTGATATTATCGATAACAGTGATGTCATTCGAAAAAAAGTTGAATGAGAGTAAACAAAGTTATAGAATTTATTTTATTAGTTTCTTTTTTCCTTTTCAACTAAAAACCATTGAAAGAAGGAAAAGGAAAGAAGCAGAAAGTATCGAAAAATTTTTTGGAATATATGAAAGGAAAAAAGAGAAAAAATGGAACAAGAAAAAAACACAGAAGAAATGATTATAAATTATGCAAAAGAAAATAAGGCAAAGAGAAGTCGTTCAAAACTGGAAAAAAGCGTACCTCCGAATTAAAGGCATTTTCAACGCTGATGATAGTTTATTGCTTCGTATTTCGAAGATATCTTCTGTCTTTCTCCTAAAGTGGACATGAAATGATATTTTTTGAAAAAATGCTTACCGAAAAAAATGAAAAACAGGGAACCAAAATCAAAAAAAGAGACAAAAACGGATTAAAAAACAACAGGCATCAAAATTCAATTTCAAAAGTGAAAAACAATCATTTTTAAATTTCAAAAAAAGTGAAAAAATTAACTCTTTTAAAGAAGCAAATTAGAAGGTGGTAATATGGGTGATAATGAAGGAGACTACAGGGAAAGAAAATGATGAAAAAGATGGAATCGCAATATCTATTTGTAAAACCTCCTCCCACTCCTCACCATAAAAAAATGCTGTTGACGTTTAGGAAACATTAAATGCCGTGATTGAAAATTCCTGCTTTCTTGATTCATATTACTTATAGTTCAAATGATCCGAAAGATAAAAAAGGAATAAAGAATGGAAAAAAAATGAAAGAGGAAAAAAGGACTAGAAGTGTAGGAGAAAATTTTTGAATGCTTGAAACTAAACAAAAATTCCTTATTAAAAAAAAGATTAAAATTTTAACAGCTGGAGTGTTATTACAACAAATTACGTTACGCAGATAATTTGAAACGTAAATGCATTTGCGGTCGTCTCAGATGCAGACATGCAATTTAATGATTATTTTTCTTTCAGCTCTTTTCACTGCATCCATTTAAATTCTAGGCCTTTGGCATCGATTGCTACTGCTATAACTTAGAAGTTGAGCCCAACAAAGCGGAAATTTGTCCAGGAGTAGGGAAGAGAGCAGAAGGGATGCAATCATTCCATTTTATTAGTAAAAATTTTTTTTAATGTTAAAAAATATGACAAACTAATAAATA